AGATGCGCAGCAAGTCCGCCCGGTAGACGGGATGTGACATGATCTCGCTCGGCAGGAGGCTGGCGAACTGGTGGCCGCCAGGGAGGGGGGGGGGGGGCGAGCAAAAGCGGAGAGGGTGAGAATGATGTGCCAAGTGCAGGAGCCCGATGGAGGGCGGCGAGGGAAGCCACCACGTTTAAGTCGCTCAGTCTGAGTGATTTTGCCGGGACGACCACAGGGAAAGCGTTATACCTGTCATATATTACGCCCCCGGGGCTGGCCGGCCTCAGAAGGAGCCCGATGGAGGGCGGCGAGGGAAGCCAACGCACCAGGTCCATGAGGGATGCACGCTTCGGGCTCAGCTTGTTGACCGACTCCAGCAGGATGGATGTAAAGCGGTCGGAAAGGGACAGACCGACGGTACTATCGGAATGAATCTGTTTGAGACAAGAGTCAATACAGGAGGAGGAGCAGCAGCAGCAGCAGCAGCAGCAGCAGCAGGAGCAGGAGGGAAAGGGAAGAGGGGGAGGGGCAAAAGAGCCGAGGAGCGGAGGACGCCAGCTGCCGCAGTTACGGAGCCACGCACGGAGTAGGAGTTCTGGCTTCGACGCGCGCTGCCCGCGGCAATGACACCAAAATCAAGAGACCCATCGGTTGGGTCGCGTGCAGCCGCGGCCAAGCCGGCCCGGTCGAGCAAATCCGCCGCCTCCTTGGGACTGGGCAGGCCCTCGAGCATGGTGCCGGCCTGACAGGTGTCAACCATGAGGAAAAGGCGGTGGAAGCTGGGCACAGTGACAGCAAAGGGCCATGTCGAGGCCAGGCACAGAGGTTAGCAGCCCGCCGACAAGGGAGATAGGAGCCCATTCATGAGGCCACCAAGAGGGGAGCGCACCGCTGAAGGAGACGCATCTGAATGATGGCCTCGCTGAGGGCAGTGGCCGTCAGCTCATCGGCATCCTGGAACTTGAGGAAGTGATCGCCGCCATGGCCTGGCACGGCGCACACGAAGGAAGAAGCCGGGTTAGTGGCGATTCCGAGCCGGCAGAGGAACTATGTCCGATGGCGGGGGACCCATACCGGTGAGATAGAGAAGGACATTGCTTGCAGAGTCCGAGAGAAGGCGCCGCGAGGCGGGAACACTGGCAGGAAGTCGATCTGGGTTGGAGGGGAAGGGGGGGGGGGGGGAAGAGAGGGGCGGGGCATATGTCCGGCTGCTCGGCGAGGGCCG